TACAGCGAGAATAAAAGTTACGCCTTCTTTCTTTGCGTGAACATTTGGGCTGCGTTATGCAAATCTTCCCACAGAGCGACGTAGACATGTGGGAGCCGTTTTAAGTAGGCGTGGCTGACTTAACTTTTATAAAGAATATCTTTTGGATTTGAGACTTTAGTCTTCTCCTGTCCGCATTCGATTCACACGGACCGACCGTCACGCAGAGAACACGCGATCGTGCAGGATACAAATGCACACTTCACAAGATCTCACAACTGGATCCAACTAAGTTTGTGAAATTAAATGTTTATTAGTCATTCAAAGATTTGTTTAAATTATATAAATCCGTATTTGCTGAATGCTGACGGCAAACAATAAAGTATTATAATGTTTGCCTTTCTATTACTAATAATATAAAAGCAATCGTTATGATACTAAATTGTATACATTTTAATTCCTTTGTTTAACCGTTCTATCTGATTATTAGACAGACTTCTATCCGTATTAGACAGAACTGTTAAGTACAACAGCGAACAAGAGGGAGAATGTGAGCACTGTGTGCTGCCGCTGTCAGCGCCGTCAAAATATAAGTCCCGTCACGAACGCATCGGCCAAACAAGAAAAATGCCAAATATCGGCCTTGGCGATATATCGGTCGACCACTAATACTGTATAGATAATACTTATGAGAAATACAAGAACAATAACTCATGGAAATATTTCTTTTAGCACTTTATAATAGTCAGTGAAAATGTGGTTTTCTTTGACTGTTTTTTAATAATTGCTTGCTTGGAGAATAATGTATTAACCTAGGTCTGTAATTGCCTAAACTGATTTGGTTTGACTTGTGATTTATATTCAACTTATTGTTCTGTTTTTATTAGTATTATTCATTTACCTTTTTAACTGCTTTAACAGCCTTCATACACTACCAGTCAAAGTATTTGAACAGTAAAATGTTTTATATATATTTTTAAAGAAGTCTCTTCTGCTCACCAAGCAAATCAGAATATTAGAATGATTTCTGAAGGATCATGTGACTGGAGTAATGATGCTGAAAATTTTGCTTTGATCACAGGAATAAATTCCATTTTAAAATATATTCAAATAGAAAGCAGTTATTTTAAATAGTAAAAATATTTCACAATTTTACTGCTTTTGCTGTATTTTGGATCAAATAAATGCAGCTTGGTGAGCAGAAGAGAATTCTTTTAAAAAAACATAAAAAATCTTACTGTTCAAAAACTTTTGACTGATAGTGTACATTGAAATTCTGGAAAAATATCAGAAGGGGTAGTATTAACTTAAAGTAAAAACTTGACTGTGATGTTTTCTTTTTCTTTCATTTGTAAACTCACTCATGTATTTATTCTGGCTTCTTATGTAACTATCTATTTGCCGTAATACTTCATGTCGCCAGATGTCAGACTGTATTTTAATTTTGTATTGTTGTGCATGAACCAGTGCATATATATATCCTTGGAAATAAAGTATTACAAGAAACATTATAAGGGGACTTATAATTATAAAACTACAACAACAGTTATTATTGCTAAGTATAATAATAATTGTAAAAATGTATTATTATTATTATTTATTATAACTAAATATTAAATAATATAAATACAGACTTGTGCAACAGTGATGCTCGTGCTCTTGTGCGCCACACGGGGGCGTTGTAGCGCAGCGGCGCTAACCACAGTCCTCCGGTTTCCCGTCAGCAAGAAGATCAGAGCAGCGCTGTGCACATGCTTTCTCTCAGCTACTACTTCAACTCACTCACACTTAGCCAAGATGGCGGATTCCGACGACTGGGGTGAGGATTACTTCCGTATTTTAGATTCAAGTGTGTGACAGGGTGACGGTCACTGGCACTGTCTTAACCACGGCATTATTTTGTTTTTCGAAAGACGCTGACAACTTCGAGCTGAGTGAGCCGATCAGAAATGCCGCCGGCAGGCTGGATAGATGGGAAGGCGAGGACGAGGAGGAAGACGTGAAGGTAACGTGCTAATGGCCATGTTATCAAAACTTTATCACTAAAGAGCGTTTTAGTCCTTTTAATTAGGCCTTATCGCGTGATATGTGGCTAAAGGTAGCAACGCTAATATGGACGATCGTGGTGTATTTTTAGCAGTTTAGCTAGCCTAGAATAGGCCCGTTTTATTTAGAGATTCACCAGCTGTATCCAGTTGCGTGTTCATGATTGTCTAGTAACGTTACTACTGTTACACTGACGGTTTCTGTGTTTACGTCAGCAAGCGTGTCATCTTCCAGCTTGAAGGATCTGTTATCTGACAGTTTCTCTTTTAGCAATTATAAGCTGCCAACACTTTACAGATTAATCAAACTACTATAGGAGGTGTGACAGCACATTGGTTACACATCATGTGAGTGTCAATGGTTAAAATGTATTGATTGATATGAAACCAGTTTCGACAGCGAGCAAGTGACAGGCCATGTGGAGCTTCTTTAGTAGCTTTTTCATTTGTTTCATTGGTTCATTGTACTGACTTTAAAAAAAAAATGCTGCTCGTCCTAGTTATTACAATTGTTGTTGCTACTTTAGCTTGTAATGTAATGTGCTAGCGTAGTTAGCGAACGTGGTACGCCGCACCCGACAATTTGCAAACAAGGTCTAGTGAATGCCATAAGTTTTAAAACTCATTTCTTTTTCTCTTTTTACCGAGTTTGTGTTACACATCTTAACACTCGCTGTCATATGGATGCTGTAATTTTTTGCGCTAGGCGCAACAGCGGCTGGTTGAGTTTCTGTTGACGTCATGACGCGTGTCCTGTTGACGCGCAGATCTAGAATTCTCTCGCGCGCCCTCCTCTTTTCGAACTGAGATAAACCTCAACAGTTCAGAGAGGGAGAAGCAGTGAGTACAACTTAGGCATGGGCCGATTACCGGTTCATGCACGAACTATTGGAAGAAAATCCTCAATATTAATTTGGGGGTTTAAATGAATGTGTTTCTGAGGGGAACTGACAGTTCTGACTATGGCTACCCTACACTCTGACATTCCTCAATGTATCAATTCAAATGAGGCACAGAACATTAACCAATCAGAGGAGAAGATGCAGTCACCCCACTGCCATATGCAAATGAACTCCCCAGTCTGCACAGACTGTGTGCCCATACAGTACCCCTCTGACGTCACAACTGACTCTGCCAGGAAAATATATAAGCAGAAACTTCTTAAAGACAACCCAGAAATCCTTTTTGCCGATTCGTTTAAAACTGGAGAATTCTGTCACGGACACTACGTCCATGTTTTTAACAGTCTATGGTCCATACAGTACCCCTCTGACGTCACAACTGACTCTGCAAGGAAAAACTATAATCAGAAACTTCTTAAAGACAACCCAGAAACTCTTTTTTCCGATTCCTTTAAAACTGGAGAATACTGCAATCTCATTTTCTTCACTGATCATCCCAACGTCTGGCATAAAGCCATCATCAACCATTACCCCTCTGTAAAGAAGGAGGGCTTCTGTAATGGCTGGAAAGTCAAAATCAGAGAACCATGTGACCCCGACACCACAGTGATAACTGTGAACTTACATAAAAATGGCACAGTCATGGTACAGGGAAATCTGAAAACATTCCAGACTGACTACAGTGCAATAATGAAACAAGAGAAAGCCGTATTTGAATATCTAACGTCTGAGCAGAATACACAGAGCAGTAGCCCAGATCTCAAGCCCACCGCTGCAGAGAGCCCTGCCCAGGACCCCTTATCCCCCCTGCTCAAATCTATACCTGTACTCCAGGAGCACTTCACAAGGCTGGAGATAGAGATGGTGCAGCTCAGAGGAACCGTACTCAAACGGGAGCATCACACTGAACTCCAGCAAAACTCAGAGAACATCACACAGAGACTGTCAGCCCTCACACAGCAAGTTTACAGACAGCTGTCAGAAAGAGCTGGCCACACTAAGACTCCAGCTACAGGACAGAGAGCATCTCACTCTAGAGATGAGGCAGCAGCTTAGAGAGTTACAGGAGGAGAGAGAGCAGCAGCACAGTGAGATCCAGGCCCTGAAAGAGCAGGTGAGAGAGCTGCTCCTGACCAGACAAGAACCAGAGCAGATCCACAGAGCTCAAACACTGCCCTCCACCCCATGGACACCTGCCACAGTCAGCCAGCACCCAGAGAGACCCGACCCAGACCGCTCATAGTCATCACAGCGCCTCGTGTCAAGTGCCCCAGCACAACACCAGCAGCACCCATCTGACAGCACAGCACAGAACAGCCAGAAATAGCCCTGCTCATTGATTCAATTGGGAAATTCATCGACATAAAGAAACTCTTCCCCTGACACAGCTGTTAAACACTAGTGTCCCAACACTGACAAAGCCCTGGAGCTTCTGTCAGAATCTCAGCTGGGCCATCTCAGCCACATCATCAACTACACGGGCACCAATGATCTGCGGAGCCAACAGGACAGAGTGTCCGATTCCCTCAGAGCTGTTGTGGAAAAAGCAAGACACACTTTCCCCAACTCAAAAATCATCCTCTCCACTCTGCTTCATAGAAGTCTTTTCCATCCAAACACAATCAGTAAGATAAATGCCAACATCTCCAGACACTGTGCCCTTGTGCCTAATGTTTACTTGGCACACCACCTAGACCTGGACACCGACTGTCTGTACGATCATGTCCACCTATAGTGTTAGAACGAGCCGTTTTAGGTAGGCGTGGCTGACTCTTAACTTTTATAAAGAATATCTCTTTGGATTTGAGACTTTAGTCTTTGCAACTTTACAGATCTTCTTTATGCACCAAGAGCTTGTAACACTCCAAAGAGAAAGGAAAAATTGAAATCGCATCATATGACCCCTTTAAAGACGTCACTCTAAACAGGACCAACCAGACAAGCCCCAGGTGGAGAAGAACCAGCGCTAACCCAGCCAAACCAGCAAGACACTCCTCGAGACAGCATCCCAGCCAGCACTTCATCTAGAGCCCCATCCAGAGCTTCAGTGCTCAGAGAGGAGCCCCACAGACAGAGACTGCTCTACAAAAGCCCCACAGCTCCTCCACCCGAGCCACAGAGGCAGAGCTACGCCCAGGTCATCAGCGGAGGGGTAAACCCGGTCAGCGCTGAGCTTCACAACATCCAACACATGCTGAGTATCATCTGCTCTCACCTACTGACACACAGTGGACAGAGATGAGAACGTTATAAAAAAAAAAAAAATCTAAATTAAGTTAGTTGATATTCTGAGTTAATACCATAACATTTCTCACATGTATTTACTGTTGCATCCAATCTGTTTTGTTTTTGCTCTTTTTATGTCTTTCTCTTTTTCTCAAAATAGCAAACAAACTCTCTAGATTATCTTTCTTTTTGTGATGAAATCACTTAGCATCTCCTTGTGGAATATTCAGGGTCTGAATTCCTCAGTCTTTGGTCTGAAGAGTAAAAATCCAGACTTTATGAGAGAAATTGATGACCTAGATATCATAATTTTACAAGAAACCTGGTGTAGAGGGGATGAGTCCACTGGCTGTCCTTCAGGATACAGAGAAACTATATTATCTTCAGTCAAACTCAGATCAACCACACAGGGAAGAGACTCGGGAGGGATGATAATCTGGACTAAATCTGAACTGTCCATGGAATTAGTCAAAAGAGAGCAGTACCACCTGTTGCTGAAAATGAAAAAAGGCATAACATCTCCGCCCGTCTTCCTCTGTGCCATATACATACCACCCCTCGAGTCTCCCTATTTCTAAGAAGAAACCTTTCAAAACTTAGGGCAAGAAATCAGCCATTTCCAGGCCCAGGGATATGTGCTGCTTATGGGTGACTTGAATTCTAGAACTGGTGACAAATTAGATTTCATAGAATCACAAGGCACCAGATTCATTACTGGCAGTAACAGATTTTTTCCTTCTCACCCTCCCAGGCAGAACTGTGATCAAACAGTGAACTCTCACGGAAGGCAGCTGCTGCAGCTCTGTCAGAATCTGGCTCTGTACATCGTCAATGGAAGACTGCGAGGAGACTCACTCGGTCGCTTCACCTACAGCTCAGCTCTTGGTAGCAGCACTGTAGATTGTCTCTTTGAGAGCATTCACAGTCAAACCCTTGAAACCTATCTTAGACCACAGTCAAATCACCCTCTATATAAAGCAGTCTGAAACATTACCCAAACCAATTAGGACACCATATCAAATGCACAAAATTATGTCATTCAAATGGGCAGAAAACAGTACAACTAATTACATTAAAGCTACTGAATCGTCAGAAATACAGTCCCTCTTACATTCTTTCCAAATACAGGAATACCCTAAAAATCAATTCGGCATCAATCAAGCAGTGAAAGATATAAATTACATATTCTATAAGACAGCACAAAGAAGTGATATGACAATTATAAAACCAAAGAAAAAGAAATTGGACACTGACAGATGGTTTGATTCAGACTGTAAGGCTCGGAGAAAAAACCTCCAAAATTTATCCAACCAAAAACACCGTCAACCAGAAAACCAGGACCTCCGTCTTCATTACTGCGAGGCACTAAGGCAATACAAAGCCACACTCCGCCGGAAAAAAGCTCAGTTTCTGCAAGACCAGTTTGAAGAGATCGAAAAACCAATAAATTCAAACAAATTATGGGATAAATGGAAATTATTAAACAAATCAAATCAAGAAGATCTGGCTATCCAAGATGGAGAGATATGGAAAAATAATTTCCAAGAATTACGTATATAGCTCAACTGAAATTCAAAACTGATCAAAATGAAATAATTAAAAAACTAGACATTTTTGAAAAATCAATAAAATCATATCAAAACCCCTTAGATTTCCCCATAACACTGAAAGAATTGGAAGATAAATTATGGGTCCTTGAGCCCAAGAAAGCCTGTGGTGTTGACGGCATCCTGAACGAGATGCTGAAACACACAGAGCAAAGCTTCAAACTGGCCATCCTCAAACTCTTCAGTGATGTTCTGTGTGTAGGGTTCTTCCCTGAGATCTGGAACCAGGGCCTCATCAGCCCCATTCACAAGAACGGAGACAAACTGGACCCCAACATCTACCGAGGCACCTGTGTGAACAGTAACCTAGGGAAGGTTTTCTGTAGCATCTTAAACACAAGACTGTCAGACTTCCTTATCAAACACAATACCTTGAGTAAATGTCAAATTGGTTTCCTCCCAAAATGCCACACATCTGATCACATTTTTACACTACAAACACTAATTGATAAATATGTGCATCAAAACAAGTCAAATTTTCGCCTGTTTTGATTTCAAGAAAGCATTCGACTCAATCTGGCATGAAGGATTATTCCTAAAACTTATTGACAGCGGAATAGGGGGGAAATTCTATGATTTGATCAAATCCATGTACACAATCAGCCAATGTGCTGTTAAAATTGGAAACAAAAGAACTGAATGTGAAACAGAAACGTGGAGTGAGACAGGGCTGCAGTTTAAGCCCCACCTTCTTCAGCATTTACATCAACCAATTGGCCAATGTTTTAGGACATGCTCCCATTCAAGGTCTCACTCTCCATGACACAGAGATAAAGTGTCTTCTTTACGCAGACGACCTGCTTCTCCTGTCGCCCACTAAAGAAGGGCTTCAGGACAGCCTGAATCTGCTGGAGGATTACTGTCAGACCTGGGCCCTGACAGTCAACCTCCAAAAAACTAAAGTCATGATCTTCCAGAAACGCTCCGCCCTCCGTCTTCGTTATTGTGAGGCACTAAAACTATATAAAGAGAAAAAAGCGCAATTTTTGCAAAACCAACTTGAAGAGATTGAAAAATCAATAAATTCACACAAATTCTGGGATAAATGGAAATTATTAAACAAATCAAATCAAGAAGATCTGGCTATCCAAGATGGAGAGATATGGAAGAATCATTTCCAAGAATTATATAGCTCAACTGAAACTCAAAACTCTGATCAAAATGAAATAATTAAAAAACTAGACATTTTTGAAAAATCAATAAAAGCAAATCAAACCCCCTTAGATTTCCCCATAACAATTAAAGAATTGGAAGGTAAATTACAGGTCCTCGAGCCCAAGAAAGCCTGCAGTGTTGACGGCATCCTAAACGAGATGCTGAAACACACAGGCCAAAACTTCAAACTGGCCATCGTGAAACTCTTAAATGATGTTCTGTGTGTAGGGTTCTTCCCTGAAATCTGGAACCAGGGCCTCATCAGCCCCATTTACAAGAACGGAGACAAACTGGACCCCAACAACTACCGAGGCATCTGTGTGAACAGTAACCTGGGGAAGGTTTTCTGTAGCATCTTAAACACAAGACTGTCAGACTTCCTTATCAAACACAATACCTTGAGTAAATGTCAAATTGGTTTCCTCCCAAAATGCCACACATCTGATCACATTTTTACACTACAAACACTAATTGATAAATATGTGCATCAAAACAAGTCAAATTTTCGCCTGTTTTGATTTCAAGAAAGCATTCGACTCAATCTGGCATGAAGGATTATTCCTAAAACTTATTGACAGCGGAATAGGGGGGAAATTCTATGATTTGATCAAATCCATGTACACAATCAGCCAATGTGCTGTTAAAATTGGAAACAAAAGAACTGAATGTGAAACAGAAACGTGGAGTGAGACAGGGCTGCAGTTTAAGCCCCACCTTCTTCAGCATTTACATCAACCAATTGGCCAATGTTTTAGGACATGCTCCCATTCAAGGTCTCACTCTCCATGACACAGAGATAAAGTGTCTTCTTTACGCAGACGACCTGGTTCTCCTGTCGCCCACTAAAGAAGGGCTTCAGGACCAGCTGAATCTGCTGGAGGATTACTGTCAGACCTGGGCCCTGACAGCAAACCTCCAAAAAACTAAAGTCATGATCTTCCAGAAACGCTCCAGATCTCAGGGACTAACACACACATTCACACTATCACACAGAACCATTGAAACCACAAAAAAACACACTTACCTCGGCCTAAAAATTACTCCAACAGGTAACTTTACTTTGGCTGTGAATGAGCTCAAAGATAAAGCTCAAAGGGCTTTCTATGCCATAAAAAGATTTTTTGACATTCCAGTCCAAATCTGGCTCAAACTTGTGAAATCAGTAATTGAACCTATTGTATTATATGGCAGTGAAGTCTGGGGTCCACCTATAAAATTAGATTTTTTAAACTGGGAAAAACATCCAATTGAAAAAATGCATTTAGATTTCTGTAAAAGAATACTCAAAGTCCAAAGAAAAACACCAAATAATGGATGCAGGGCAGAATTAGGCCAATACCCTCTACTTCTAAACATCCAAAAAAGAACCATCAAATTCTGGAAACACCTAAAGACAAGCGACCCCAGCACATACCATTATAAAGCCCTGAAACA